GGGGAAGGAAGGAAATCGGTCTTTTGCTATGGCCTGTCAAACTAGAGGCTGAAGAACATAAATAGCATGTAAAGTTCTAGGTGGTGAAAAGGTCAAGAGATGTTCCAGGGAAAGGATGCAGTGGTGACAACCTGCAACCTTTGTTCCCCTAAATGCCTTTAGATGGAAGTTTTTGGTTGGGCCAAAGTTAGCCACAGAACAGACAGTCCCATTATTTATAGAAAAACTGCTAGGTAGTGTCTATGTTTTAAAGGAAATGCTAGTGATCTACAGAGGACATTTAAAACCAGCTACTCCATGCACAGTAGGATATAAAGTCCTGATCAATCAGTTAATCGGCTAAAATTTAACCAGCCCAAGCAGTCCCCAGCCAGCACCCGTGTGGGGACCCAGTGGGGCTAGGGCAGCACTTTGCTGTGGCAGGCCACAGGTTTGGGGCTGCTCCCCAGGAACTGGTTAACCAGTTCCCTACGTACAAGCTGTTTCCCAACCCAGGGTAAGTGGTTACTCTGTTTGGGGGCAGGAGCGAATGCCGCTAGAAACAGAGAACGCAATTTACTAACCTTTCGCCTTTTTTGTTGGCCATGTCATATGGACGAAGAAAATCCAACTTGCTTTTGCTTATAACACAGAGATCTATGTTACTGCCAGAGCCCAGATCGTTGAAGATGCCAGCGGCGATGGCATCTCTCACAAGCTGTTTGGCTTCCTCTTCCTGGAAAAGGGAACAAAGCTCACCCGTTTACTAGCTCCTGGAAAGGCAGAAATTATGCAGCACAGCACAGTTAGACACGTTCTTAAACTGTCACTGTCTCAGGAAAAACGTCACGTACGGAAGGAGAGACATTCCAGATGACCAAATTGAAGGGGCCGCTTTTGAGAAGTGAGTGATTCAGCAGGGTCACTTGCCCTATTAGCGGAGGCGACAATGTCCGAGGGGGACGTATATTTCTACACATGCCCTAAGTGGTCTCTGAAGGGTACAGGTACAAACAAGCATCTTCCTTATAATGCAGTACTGTGGGTCTGAACAATGGTCGCTACCCAGCTTTCTAGTCATGAGCACCATCACTTCTACAAGGAAGCGGCCAGGGTGAGCACACTTAAGAAATAAATCCTTCAGCTATGAAGGGGAGAAATGGACGTTAAAGCGATCTTGCAGACCGTAAATACCATACGATACGTACAGCAATCTACAATGCACATTTCCCTGTAGTGCGCCGCGTGGAAACACTTCCATACAACAAAGATCTCTATTAGTTCAGTTACAAGACTTCCCTGAGTGGAGGCGAATGAATCATCTTCTATATTAACTAAAATGATTTGGATGTTTGGCAGGATAGCAAACTTGGATTGCAAAATCGATTCTGCATTACAGGGGAGCTTTGATCTGCCTTGCGTCCCAGCTGGCTAATGTTTTCATGTTCCAGTGTCATGCAGTGGTAAAGAGGATTAAAAGAAACTTACTGAGCGCTTAGTCAAAATAGTGTAACTTTCAGAAATCTACACACTTCCGCTTTTGACTTCCACTTGGTATTTTAACTAAGTTATTGATAAATACATGATGAGACTAAAGTTTATAGCACAAATGAGAGCATGGCCACTTTTATATACATCCAAATGTGTGTTCTAAATGTTACTATTTAAAAATAACAATTAGTATTTACCAATGCAAACAGATTAAAACTAAATATACATGTAGTATAAACACTCTACTATGCAGTTTCATTATCTGGTTCAGTTAATGAAGCAGCAAAATTTTACTCATCTCTAGATTCGGATATTCTAGGAAAGAAGAGAGAGGTGTTTTGTATCAACTAGGGAAAATTTGCTCAAATCAAAAGAAAATTCCGATGGGGGCTAAGAATATGCACTGCTGGTTAAGTCCGGCACAGGTTTACAAATGTGTATTTGAAATATGAACATGCTCAAAGAATTTATAATTTCTGAAATACACACACCTCTCCAACCACCTTGCTTATAGAGTTTCTCAGAGGAAATTTGAACTGTTCAGTATTTAATGGAAATTATCTGAATTACTGTTCAGAGACACTGATCAGCTCCATGCGTCAGACTAGTATTTGCCCAGTGTCCTAAGCAACAACCCTCTCCCCTGGAGAGCACGCTACAGTCAGATCTATTTAATTGTACACACAACTCCACCACCGCCCTTTACTCAACTGATTAACTGGCCTCAAACTATGCAAGTTATGTCCCCAAATGAGTCCCATCATTGTAGCTTCTCTGTAGCCTGCAGCAGAAAGGGGACGCTTATTACAACTGCATTAGCTCCCTCTACAGACTCAGCCAGGGAAAGAACGAGGTTTCATTTCAAATGTAACTCGTTTAACTGACAATCCCTGAGCAGATCCAGGGATGTTGCAAACAGTTTTGGAAGCTGTTAAGTATTGCGAGACCAAGGAGAATCTGAGATTTCACAATGTAACTGAACATGCTGCTGCATTCACGTTTTACTGACGTGAGGAAGGTTGTTCCTGGTAAAGCGTCACAAACATTCAACAGGAGCAGGGAAAGGCTCACAACTGGAAGAGAAACAGTCCCTTGCTGAAACTTACCAGATGTGCCATGGCTCACCACCTCTGCCATTCCTGATCACTAAACATCCCCCTAGCAATTACAGCAGCAAAACAATTGTCGGAACATTTATCTAACTCTTACCCCAACCCATTAGATCACATTTAACAAGAGGTAGGTAGCGCTCTTCAAATCACAACTTAAGACCACTCTTCCCTCACACTTCAGGAAAAAAGAGTGAAGTGAATATTTCTTCCCCCCTCCCCACTTTTAACACCAAAAGCAGATGTCCCACTAATGCTCACTTCTTTAAGAGAAGCCACATACTGTATAAAGGTCACAGATTCATGAATCACAGCTCTGGGAAACAACAGAGCAACTGAAAGCAGAGACAGTAGGGATACCACGGCTAAAGGATGTTCCCTCATTGCTGATGACTAGGATTAGACTGGGACAACAAATGTGGTGTTTAAATTGATTTACTGGCCTGATTTTGTTTGTTTCCTTCTATTCCGGGACTGGTCCCAAATTTCTACTGGGATGAGATATTTGGAGCCTCGCTTTTTGTTTTAAAATACCCAGAGGCTTTAATTAACTTTAATTACTGCTTGGTGACTGACGCTTGGAAACTGTTAATTCCCCACTTCCTTAGAAGTTACTCCTGTGTACGGTTTAAAACGGAGGCACAATGGAGAGACTGACCTTTGAGTCTCCAAAGTTACCGGTTCTATTCAAGCTCTTAATATTTCAGGTAGCAGTTTGAATAACTGACTTGCCGTCGCTAGAAATGGGAAACGCTCTGGCTTTCAAAAGCTGCTTATGGAAAATGCTGCTCTGCTCACTTCATGTGAAGCCTTCAAACTTTGTTTTAAAAAAGACCTGCCACGGGAATAATGATCCGTAACGGGGGGAGGGGGGTGCTAGTCCTAGATTTTTGCACATTCAAGCAGCAGCTGTACAAGTTCAAGTGGAGCTGAGGAGGGTCCCAAAAGTAGGTGATGTCTGTCCCCCAGGCACCCTTCCCCTTCTCCAGGGCC